ATTTTTACTTTAAAAAACATTTATCATTATTATAGTCGTCATGCATGTACGATTGCAATTTCTGTCACAAGAGGCGCTACTGCCCTTACAAAAATTTATTAGAAATTTATTTATAAATTAATCACTTAGCCAGTGATTAATTATTTTGAGTATTAATTTCAGTATTTTTAGTAATTCCTAATGATTCAATTATAAACCCTGTAATAATATACGTACACGACTTATCGAATCGAAATACTGTAGTATATATTTAAATATTGATATAAGTATTTTAACTTCAGCAATTTAATTCTGACTAGTGATTTATGTTAAAATTTCATTATTATACCAGTATTAGCATTAGTGTTTAAGTATTCATGTAAAACGAAATATAGGATCTGTTCCAAAAGTAATGAAAATGATTTTTCTTGATCGCCAAGAGCGTTGGGGGACAAATTTCGGCTTGGGCGGGTTGTGGGGAATATCAGGTATACAGCCAGACTCGAGTCAGTTGCCTGTGAGCTTTCGCAGAGTGTAGATCGCTAGTTAGATAAGATGCTGTTTCAGTGACGCGTTACGCGCCAAAATGAAGCGATGAAACTCGGATATTCGAGTACGACCCGGAAACAAAAAGGCAGAGTTCCGAGTGGCACATTCCTCCAGCTTCACTGTGACAAAAAAAGGCGCGAATGAGCAAGTCAAAAGTGAAAAGCATTGTCTTTTTTGATTGTAGAGGAGTCGTCCACAAGGAGTTTATACCGACCGAACAAACAGTAAACACAGCATTTTATGTCCAGGTACTCGTTTGAGAAAAAGGTCGTGCGTGTCCGCCCAGAAATCCAGCACATCCTTCATTACGACGTGTCGAGCCACTGCCTTAACGGTGAGGGAGTTTTTGGCTACGAAGAACATTCCAACGCTTTTACTAAACTATATTATGTTTATTTTTATATGTTACAGTTTCTCTGAGACTTATCACAGAGAAAACAGTTACAATTACTGTTACAGTTTTATGTTATAATTTATTTATAATAAATATAATGTATATTTACATTGTATATTAATTTTTTTGCCATCATCTGGTTCAATGTATCCCTCTTCCATGAGTTGTATGAGTAGATTCATAAAGTCGTATCTTACAATTTTGTGAGCGTGCCTGTACTCTACATTCTCCCGAAACATTTAAAAAAAAAAATTGCTAAGTTGTCTGTTTGTAAAAAGGATGGAAAAGAAATTCAAAATTTGCGGCGCAAATATACATAAAGCAATCCAAAATGAATTTTCCTCAAAGAATTTTTTTCCCCATAAACGGAATTCACTATTTGGTTCGTTTATACAATTAGATTTAATTCCAAATACTGCAAACATAATTATATCCGTTGAGCACCTATTGTTAAAATGCATAAGGAATCGTTATAAATTACTTTCCAATTTTTAATCAATTTTTAATGAATTTGCGACATATTAGAGGTGTCAAAAAATCTGGTAAATTGATGAAGAAAGATCGAATCAAGAACATAAAGATAAAACATCAAGAAAAAGATTTAAAAAATAGCTTATTATAAAGTGAAGACAAAAGCATTTAAATATCTAAAGATAGTCTGTGTAATATTTATATATTCTATTTTTACAAAGCATTCTTAAAATTTTTTTAAAATTGAAGATGATGTTAATTTTAATTCTAATTTATTTGCAATATTAAAAATAAATTAATATAAAGTTTCTTATTTTTTTCAATAGTATAATTCGGAAATCATTATTCATTAAATATTTTGAATATCATGAATACATTTGATATAATAAATGACAAAGTACAAAAAATATTCAAAATAATTGTATTTATAAAATTGTTTATAAAATTGTTTAAATCAAGATTACAATAATTTGAGATAACGAATTTATTTTATATTCCAACATATAAAAATTACGATAATACG